TATATTTATATATTATGATTAAAGCCCCTGAAAATGATACATGCAGTCCAGCTAGATACATTTGAATCTTGTTTTTTTTTTAACTTTCAGAGAAATAACTCAGATATGACTGAGTTTTTCTGCTTACAAGTGTTTCAAGAAAAGCTTCCTCATCATTTAAGAAATGTAGCAACGTACATTGAGTAGATTATGGATTCTTCTTGTGCAAGGAAAGTAACTGTAATTTAAAAATAATGATTCCCTTGAAAAACTTCCCTTTAAACAGCTCCTCCCTGTATTTGCAGTAAATCATGTGGGAAATGGAGGAAAATAAGTTAGACTTTTACACTAAATCTGAAGTCATCCATTTTGTGCACTAAAGAAATACTTTACTGCAGATAGTTGTTCCACTTAACTGTCATTGTTAAGTGCCGGTGAGTCTGTTCCAATTTATAGTGATCCTGTATAGGGTTTTCAAGGAGCAGCTGGTGAGTTTGAATCACCAACCTTCTGGTTCAAACTGACCTTGCAGTCCTGTGCTTTATCTCACAGTGTCACATCAGGACTCCCAATTTTAGGAGACACAAAATCAGCATGTTCAAACTGGAAGGGCCCTTGGAGACTGTCTGGTCTACCCTCCTGTTTTACAGAGAGGCTCAGGAAGGCAGCCTTCCCAGTCTGCCCATCCCGCAGACAGTGGGCAGCACGGCCCTGCGGACAATCTAGGCGTCTTAGCTCCTGGTTTGCTCTCTCCAGTGTCTGATGCCTCAGTTTTCATTTTGTTTGTTGGCACTTGAGCTTTTCTGTGTGTTGCTGGGTTTGCACATTGGGAAAGCAGACAATTACTGATTTCTGTAAATGATGAACCTGATGACAGAATTCTGTGTTACAGAAATCCTCGATGAAAGCACGTGAAATAAAAGTTAATGCAACTTTACTTTTAACTCAATGTCTGCTTTTTCCCTCCCCTAACTGCAGATGTAGTCAGTGGCTATTTAATCAAGATGGCTCATAGCAAATGTTTTTGACCTTTTTAGAACAGAAGACTCAATGACAGAAGATGACAAGAGAAGGTATGTCTGGTATTGTAGCTGGTTTTTATTTGAATAATTCTGGCCATACCACATGGGTTTCACACACAGTAATATAGATTCTACTAGGAAAACTTTTTTTTTTTTTTGGTACTGAGAATACAGGTGATCTGAAAGAGAACTTGCCCAGTAATTATCATCTTTGCTTCTTTCAAGCAAGCTTGATTTTGGTCCTATGCATATAAACTCCATCATTTGACCCAGATATATTCTGTTTGGATGATTTCTGCCTGTCTTCTCCACCTTTTCTACCCTTCTAGTCTTATCTCCTCCTCTGATTAACTGCATTCTGCTCTCATTATGCCTAGGTAAAATGGTTTGTATGTCTATTGTTGTTGTTGTTGTTATGTGCCGTGGAGTCGGTTCCGACTCATAGCGACCCTGCACAGGGTTTCCGAGGCTGTTAATCTTTATGGGAGCAGAACGCCTCATCTTTCTCCCTCGGAGCAGCTGGTAGTTTCAAACTGCTGAGCTTGCAGTTCGCAGCCCGATTCGTAACCACTACGCTACCAGAGCTCCTTAGCCCCTAATAATTATGTGACCCTTTGAATTCTTGATAAATTGATGACTAATTATAACATAAGGAGCTCTGGTAGCGTAGTGGTTACGAATCAGGCTGCGAACCTCAAGGTCAGCAGTTTGAAACTACCAGCTGTTCTACGGGAGAAAGATGAGGCTTTCTGCTCCTATAAAGATTTACAGCTTTGGAAACCCTGGTACAGGGTCGCTATGAGTCAGAACCGACTCCATGGCACCCAACAACAACAAATAATAACATGATACTCTACTGACATTACTCTACTGAAGTCTAGCATTCTAACTTTGCTTCTTCCCCACAAGTAAAATATCTAAAACTTTTACTCTTCTTTTAAAACTTCTTTCTTTCTCCCATTTTCTCTTGCTCTTTCTTTCTCTGCCTTCCTCCCATTCCTTTCTTTCCTTGCCTTTTTATGGTTTCTTTGTGGCTTAGCAAAAATAATTATATTCCCCAGGGCAATAATATCCTAAATTCTACTTTTGAAAAATCATGCATCTGTTAAAATAATTCTCCATTTGTTTGAAGTACTCCGTACTGCTGTTGCTGTCTATAAATACATAGAATCATTTAAATTTGTTTGATTTTTCTTTTCATTAAGAAACTATGGAGGGGTATATGTTGGCCTTCCATCTGACGCTGTCAGTATGGTATCTAGTCCAACAAAGACTGCACGAAAAAGTAAGTAAAAACATGTTGTTTTTATCTATTTATTTTTGCATTTTGTAGAAATTTTATTTCAACTTGCTAGACTCAAGCTCTGCAGTTACTTAGTTATGTTGTTGTTGTTGTTAATTACCTTCCAGTCACTTCTGACCCATTAGTGACCCTGGACAGGGTTTCAGAGGTGCAGCTGGTGAGCTTGAACCGCAGATCTTGCAGCTCAATTGACTTTGCAGTCCAGCACATTAACCAACAGTGCTTCATATATGAAGATGATCTGGTCATTATAATCCTTTTTGTAATTGCCACTCATATGCTACAGTAACTCCAGAGCAAAATCTAGCTTCTATTTGTGGTTATGCTGCATGGATATTTTAAGTTTCTTGTTAATATTAGCTAATGCTTAAGTAAGTTTAAGCATCAAGTTTGTAAAACATAAACATGGATTCCTGTAATATAAAGGTGACTGGCTGGTAAACAGTCTGGTGATTAAATGAAATATATCTGCCTACTGGAGCTCTGGTAGCATAGTGGTTATGAATCGAGCTGCTAACCTCAAGGTCAGCAGTTCGAAACTACCATTCCACATGAGTAAGACGAGGCTTTCTGCTCCTGTAAAAATTCACAGCTTTGGAAACCCTGTACAGAGTCTCTAAGAGTCAGAACTGACTCCACGGCACATAACCACCACCAGTTAAGTGAAATGAGTTACTACTTATGGGACTAATGTTGTTGAGTCGAGTTGGTTCTGACTCATAGCAACCCTCTTTAGGGGTTCCAAGGATGGCAGTCTTTTCCGGAGCAGAAAGCCTCATCTTTCTCCTATGGAATGGTTGGTGAACTCGAACCACAGACCTGTGATTTGCCGTCCATTGTTTAGCCTACAGAGTCACTGTGCTACCTGGGTCTTATTGTCTCTAAATATTTATTTACTATTATTCAGTTATTTAATATTTAATTATTATAACAGCCATGATTATAACCTTGTAGATAGCTTCTTGAGTAAACTTTTATATAAGGTTCCTGATAGAGAATGTGAGTTTATTAGTCACTACACAGTTGTCCTATCTACAGTTTTAAAGGTCTAACTAATATATTTAAGGACTCCTGGTGTGGTGCTGTGGGTTAATGTGCTGGACTGCAAGGTCGGCAGTTCAAGCTTACTAGATGCCCCTCAGAAACCCTGTGTAGGGTCTTTATGAGTCGGAACTGACTTGATGGCACTTAACAACAACAACAACAACAACAACAACAACAACAACAACAACAACATGTTTAAGGACTCCTGGCATGACTCTGCAGAATCAGTACTGGACTGCGAAACACAAGGCCAGCAGTTTAAACCTATCAGCTGCTTCTTGGAAACTCTGTACAGGTCACTGTGAGTTGGAACCGACGCAACCACTAACAGTAACAAACTGCGTTTAAGGAGTCCTGGTGTGGTGCTGTAGATTAGGCACTGGACTGCTAACCATAGGGTTGGTGGTTCAAACCTACCAGTTGGTCCTTGGAAATTCTATGCAGGGTCTCTGTGAGTTAGAACTGATTGGATGGTACTTAACAACAACAACAACATGTTTAATTTGCACACAAGACTGCATGGTATTATTTTTAAATACACTAATTATGTTCCTCATTGCTGTTTTATGACTCAGACTAGTAAATACATAAGATTGGCTTCAAAAAGTTTGTGAAAAATGAAATCACTTGATAATGTCATTTTTCCACAGACTTTTTGAAGCCCCCTCATATTTGTCATGACATAGTTTTACAGGAAACGGGAATATGTTCTATGTAATCTGTACATTTAACTTTTCTTAATTTTCTCTTTAAGATTAGAAGAAAATGATATCATGACGCAATAATCGAGAGGTATTGTATATTTAAAAAAATAATTCTCTATGTAGCTGATAAGTGGATTGTAGATGTTGTTATATGTTTCTTAGAAATCTTAAGCTTCAGGATTTGAGCGATTCATCTCATTTTATGGCTGTGAGCATGTTTTATTTTAAAGAGTTCTTTAATGAGCAGATCAACTTTCTTGTAGTTACTTTTTGTTTTTCATTTCATTGTTTCTGAATGCAGCTTGGTTTCTTAATAAGACCACATGAGACTTAAAACCCCTAGAACAATTAGGCTTCCCATGTCCTCAATATGAAAACCTTTGAGGGACTGGGACTTGAGAAATGACATAGAGGGAGATACCAGAGAGGCTCACACTGGGTATTATATTGGGACCAATGGTGTTGGGCAGTATCTAGGAGTTAGTTAATATAGAGAGGGATGTATCTGTCAGTACCAGAAATCCAGGCTACGGAGATGAAGGAATAGAAAAATTATAGACTCAGTTTACAGGTGAGATAGCATAAAACATGTTCAGTATGAGCAGAAGAAGCCATTGTCTAAAAGATGGGACACTGGGCCTGGGATCCTGGTAGAGGTCTTGGAATTCAATTAATAACAAGACAAACAAGAATACAGACAACAGAAAACTAGCTTGCATTTATCATCTACCCTCTGTGTATCTGTCTCTACAATATACTGAGTAGTCAGTTTCATGGAAGTAAAGAGTCTCGGGTCGTCTGGTTCAGTAATGAATTTGATACTTGGATCTTCACTGCATTTTAGTCTTGCTGAATGACATCCAACTTCAGAAACCTCCATCGATCTGGAAACACTTCATCGCCTGAGGTAGTCTGCTCTCATTCAGGAGTCAGGCAGCAACAGAGTTGAATTCAGGCTCGTCTATGTACTAGCTATTCTTTGTAGCCTCAGTTCCATCAGCTGTAAAATGGAGCCGAAGCTTACCTTGAAGGGATATTGCTAGGATTAAATAAGAAAGAGATGTTAGCACCCGTGTTCACTGTAATCACTTTCATGACCGTTTTCATTATCAGCACTGTCATCCTCCTATTACTCTTTCTCTGGAACCAGAATTCAGATCCAGGTAGACCAGAAGCAGCATTGTTTATTTAACACATCTACTCCTCACTTGGAGCCCTGGTGTGGTATTGTGGGTTAATGCACTGGACTGCAAGGTTGGTTTGAAACGCAAGGTCGGTGATTCAAACTCACCAGCTGCTTCTCGGAAACCCTATACAGGATTGTTATGAGTCAGAACCAATCCGACAGCACTTAACAACAACAACCACACCCCCTCCCTTACTGACATGGCTAAGTTCCAAAGACCAGGTCATCATGTGGAAATAGACCAGGTCGTGATGTGAAAAGCATCGTTATGAAACAACAGAAGATGATTACATCGTTATGTAACTGCCAGACTAGATCATTATATAACTGCCAAACCACTGAGAGTCATAGGCCAGCCAAGTACCCATCACAGTCAGCATTATTCTCATCTCACTTCAGCATTCATTCATGCCAGATGCACATCATTAACATACAAAATGGTTAGTATAGATTTTTACTGCAAAATGTGAAATGTTGGATAACGAGGTGATTGGTAATTAACGAATATATGTACTGAACCGACTTCTTGCTTAGGGTCTATGCTAGTGCTGGTGTTTCGATAGGGTGGGGGTGCAGACCAAGCCCACAGGTGTAGGCAAATAAGCTTTCAGTTCTGGGGAATGGGAAAGCAGAGGCTGTACATACTTTCTTTCTGACAGGAGCTTTAAAAAGCTTTGGGTAGCCACTTTCTTCTAAGACTTTCTCACCAAAGCAGCAGCATTATAGAGGTTTATTCCATAGTATTGACTGCAAGGTTAGTTTGAACCACAAAATCGGCAGTTCAAACTCCCCAGTCGCTCCTTGGAATCCCTAAACTGGGTCGCTAAGAGTGGGAACCAACTCGATGGCACTTAACAACAACAGTGAGGGTGTTCCTTTGGGAGTTTACTGCAGGTTTTCTGTTTCTAGTATTTTTAATAGGATTCTAACCCTCTGTAGAGTTTTTTTTTTTTTTAGTTTCCTGCCAGTTTTTCCCTCAGCAGAAGTAATTTTATGATTTATATCAAATAGAAAAAAAACAATCGAGTTGAAAGCAAGAGCCTAGTGTTGATGGCTCTCCTAAAAGCAGGTGCATTTTGTGTCTTGGGTTAGAGTAGAAAGAGGTTCCATGTAAGTGCACATCAGAGAGTAGCTGTGTTCCCAGCTCAGCTGCTAGCACGCAATGCTAACATGGGATCTTAGATGAGTCCCGTCACATCTCTCAACTTCTTCAAATTCCAGAATTCTTGGAGAGAATTAGACAAAATGATTGTTCATCTTTGTGTATGAATCTAAAATTCCCTGATAACAACTTAAAATATTGCTGATAAGCAAGGCAGCATAATTTTAGTAAGTTAGCGAAAGTATTTCCTTATCGTTGATATATACTATTGTATTGCCACCCCTGAATTTTACCATTCTTTAATTCTGTTTCTCAACAATCAATTTGATCCTGGTCTTTATCCCTCTTTGGATTACCTAAAAGTTTTTTAAGTTGAAATGCTGTCCCATGTGCTAAGGATCCATTTGTGGTTCTTATCTGCCGTTGTCTGAACGCATAACTTTCTGAGTGTATTTACTTATTGGAAGAGACCCTGATGAGAAAGAACACCATTGGAGAGGAAGACATCTTATGTAAAGAGTTAGAGATACACTTATAGAGCTATCCATGTCTAGAGACAAAGTCTGAGTCCAAAGTTAATTAAGTTATTTATTTATTTTTTGAAACAAATTGTGAAATGGGTTGAGAATGTGTTAAAATGACTAACATTGCAGGTACTAATGTATAGTTTCTTGTACAGATAACTCTCGGGTGGAAGGTCTGCCTATTTAGATGTGTAGAATACCCCAACACAGAAGAGCTTAGCGATGGTTCTTAAATGCCAGTCAATGGACTTAACTGCCTCAGAATCCCCTGAATGTGCTTGACATACCTTAGATAATGAGACCTTCCTGTGCCCTGGTGGCACAGTGGTTAAGCACTTTGGGTTGTTAACCAAAAGGTCAGCAGTTCCAGCCCAGCAACCATTCTGTGAGAGAAAAGACCTGGAGTTCTGCTCTCATAAAGA